TTTCTACGAAAATCTCACCAAAATATAGCTCACTTTAGCCCCAACAACTTTATCACTAAACACAAAAAACAAGCTAAAAAAGGCAAAAAACGAGTAATTTGCCAGCCCGAGTCGACTATTTCAGAAAAGCAAACAGATGTAGCGTTTTAACACGATAAAAGAAGATAGCCAGATATATAGATACATTGTTGTACGTGCTTTCCATATATCATGCGTACGTACATACATTGGAGGTCAAGCACAGCAGTGGGCGTTTGATTCAAAAAACTTTTCGGTCGGATATTGTACTCATGGAAATTGGCAAGATTAAGACTGCTATTTCGAACGGCTTAGGATTGATCTACTTACCAAAAAGTAATAATCGTTCGGTCATGCATCTACTCATGCATATTATTCGATCTCGTTATATGAATTCGAAAAGAAAAGATCATACATGATTTATTTTCGTCGGAGATATAATAGCCCATTCCTCTATATCGAGTATATATCGATACAATAACATAGCAAGATTTATAACTGGGGTTCGAGTAGCGTCCCATGTCGCGGCGAGTTCGCGGCCATGTACGCAGCTCAGGCTGAATTTGTCCTAGTGTTGGATCTACCTGTTCATTTGTCTGTTATGATGTTCCTAGGCTCTGATAGACCGTTTACGTCAGACACCTGTTGATCAGTGGAAGTAGATATCATCGTGTATACACAATGAAAAGCGTAATGACATTAAGCTGGTAGAAATTCAAAAGCCGATGCTTCGATCAGCGATTGTGTCTGCTCGCTATGCATTATGGGGTCACTATTACCACGCCTAAAAATCTCAAGAGCACGAAGCGTGGCCCGACCTGAGTGTATTGTTGTGATCTGAATAGAAAGACCTCCTTCAGATTATCATTAGGGATAGGAAATTGCTGTTCTGAAACATCTACATTCATCATATTATTTAGGGAATATATAGAGACAATAAGTGCCTCTCTTAACGTAGGGTCATTGAAGTTCAGACGAAGCTTCGAGAAGAACATTTTTATATGATGTGTGATTGTTTCTTTGATCCTCGTAAGTCATTGCTGCTGTTATTACTTGTAACCGTTTTTGGCACGAATTTTTTTTCCACACAGATATACCTACACATTTCGCTCTGTTACTGCTTCACTGTAATAGGAACATAACATTAAGAAGAGCCAAAATTCCTAATAGCCCCTCGCAATATTGAACCGCATACGCAACTTTCCTACGCATTGAACAGATGCCTAATAGCGGCCTGCCTCTCTAGTTTGCCAACGCATTATTTCTATGTGGTTAAGCGTGTAGTGTCCGGGGCTTAGGCTCAAAAGTACCGAGACACAAACCGTGACAAGCACGCTTGTGGCACTTGCAAACATAGCTTCCCATATAGTATAGAGTACAATGATTCCTTCAAATAAATCATGTTCGACAATAGTTTGGATAAAATTCTACTGCTGCAAAGTGACTCAATGCGTGGAGCAGAACTGATGGTAGCAGCCGTCGACCTTTCTCTCAGGCCGACTCTCCTACCCCAGCCTATCGAATAGGGATCAGGGAAAACGACGTCATTCGTCGTATATGTACATAGGCGCCGTTACTCCGAGTGCAGATAGGTGCAAAAGATAACGGCCAAAAGTGATCTTTGCAAAACCCTACAACTCATACGACATGTAGCAAATAGATGAACAAGGATACCTGGCTAATCTCCAACATAACTAAACACAAACAATTCGCCTTAAGCGGTTTATGTCCTACGGAATAGGTGAGCGAAAAGGTTATAATTTTCGTGCGTTCCGCTTACTTCGATTCAGTTCAGAGTACGTACACTTTAGTACACCTTGATTGGATAGAGCCATTGCATTATGTATAGCCATATGACTAGAATATGGTTCCAGCATCCGTATTAGTTCGGCCTTAAACATACAAAGATATCAATAGCGTAGATCGAAGTATCGATCACACACTGCATAACCAAGTTACATTGATAACACTCGAACGCTAGTGAGAAAGGTGGTAAGACACACATCCGTTCAGCCGTGGCCAAGGGCGTTAAAAATACGTTCGGTATTATTTACTGCACCATCACTGCAGCCCTGGACTTCCAATAGGTCCAACTGCTAGGTTCAATCGTTTCGAACTATAGGCTCCTTTTCGGCTGCTTCCACTAGACAAATGGCTCTAGTGGCTGTTCTGCGGGCACGACAATCTGGGGTAATATCTGTTCCACGCCATAAAACCACGCTGCTGTCCTATAGACAGAAGAAAAAAAATCTTATTTTGGATGATGGCTCTAGTCAAACTCCGCGCCGGACTCAGGAATTTTAAGTTTAGGGGTTTGGGGTAGCCCGGTTAGTGATCAACCGGCAAATTGGCTCTACGCCCCCTATATAAGCGATATACATTATATTACTCAGTACTATGCTATTGTGACCGGTCAATATTGCTGGCGCGTGGAATTCGCCGTTGTGGACATTGGGTGCGCAACAGCTTGTTAGTAACGACTCCTGAACAGAGCTAGCGAAGTACCTGAAACGCAGAAATTATTATAGACGTGTGGACATAGCTGTTTTATGATAAAACAAAAATGTTCAACAGTACTAAAGAGCTATATATACATATTATAATTAGTTCAATATCGGGCTTTTTCGACTAGTCACCAGACGTGTCACGAATGCACATTTGTACGAAACCAGTACCATTGGTGAAAAGTTTGTTTCAATGGGTAACGTAAGCCAACTTACAGCCCTGATTAGAACTTGACCAAGGAGTAACTGTCATCCGATCCCTTAATACTGGATGAACTTTCAACAAAATTAAACAAAATCGACGATATATATTATGGCAGGTCATTATACGGTTTTTTGAGCTTTTAATGAATGACAACTTCGAATGAAATGGAGAAGTTTCTATAAGATTTAGATTTAAAAGACTCGATCCCGTTCCTTATATTTTAGATTTTTGGTACAGCAAATAGCGGCCATCATTGAGGAGAGAATACGTATCGCCCAACTAGATAACGTGTAACGTTTTATAACTTCTGGACCTTTCCTCAGCTTTAAGTTCTTGTTTCTTTAGCACGTATGCTTTGCTGTTAAATGAACTTAACTGCCATTTGAGTTTTTATGCGGAGCGTATTTAGAATATGCTTCAACGAGCTTTCACTTACCGCTATCGTTAGGTATTGTTAACGAACAAATATTTTGAAAACAATTAGTGGCTTGTTCAGGTTCAGAATTGGACTTTAACCGAAGTAAATGTAGCGTACGGAATAACACGTTCGGCACGTGCAGAAAAATATTTAGGTACAACTTTAGAAATAGCTGATAAAAACATCTAAATGTATATATTCAAGAGTTTTAATTGCACATATATATATATATATATATATGATTTGACAGGAATTATTGTTAGCTATTTTGGTCTCTGCGTATTACAGTATAAGGCAGATAGAAAAAAGCTTACACACTAAAATATAACTTTTACAACGTAATTTCGAGAAACCTCTAAAATATCAATTTTATGACATTTCCATTCGGACGGTAGCACGGCATTGGAATTGTCAGCGGCGTAACCGACGAGAACTTTGCTGCGTCGTAATAATCAGCTTTTTAGGGGGCCACGTCATTCAGTATAACTATCTCGTTCTGCAGCGTCTAGAGTTCAGCCAGAAACGGTATGAATTGTTATGGCGCCAGGAGATAGGTTCTATACAGCGTCTGGCTTGCAACTACGTCACACGAACTATTTTATCAGCTAGCGGCAGGTACATATGTACCTAATATGTATTCAAAATTTGAGACCCTCATCAAACTACCACTCGGCCGTTATTTAGTCGCTTCGGTGATAGTATTTGCAATTCGGCTGCCTTTGCTGCTGCTGCTGCTGCCGTTGCCGCTGCTGCTGCTGCTGCTGCTTATAGCCTCCAGGCTAACTACAAGATCTACAACTATTAAAGTCGCCACGTTATTTCTACTGTGTCCGACCCAGCAGCAGCAGCAGCAGAACGCGTAGGATCTCTGTAAATATTAACACCTGAATTTGAACCTTCATCATAGAGCTACCTAATTACAGGGCCTGCTATCGAAACCATTGCCTCAGTATGGCCTGTTGCACGTGGAAAATAATAAATTAGTTTTCTAAATAACGGTGCTCGTTTGCGTACGCATTATCCATACGCATACGTTTTTAAAACCGAAGCGAAATATGTGAAGATAACTGAGATGTTGCCGTTATTGGTAAAAACGATGATTACCTTTTGTACTAGCATTTCAGCACATTTTGTCGCAGAAAAAACCTATTCTCTTATTTTTAAACGCTGGGACAAAAGGGTGCTGACTAAAGGCATCCTGTACATGCTAATATACCTAGTATTCGAGTGTTCGTGCATATGCATATGGAACAAAATGTACGAAAACAATTTATTCGAAGTAATGTATCCGATATTGCCGTACAAAGAAATCTGCGTAGTTTTTACGTCTAAACGTAATTTTTTGAATTAGTTATTCAATATACAGAGGTCCTTGAGGGCCGCTGTAGCACTCTGAAGAATATTACCAAGAAGCGTCCTTCAATAACGAAAAAAGAGGTGCAGCTGGCTCGTTATAGACCCTCTTCCGCGTGCTGAACGTCGTCGAACTGTCAAGCCTACCTTGATGCCGAATCCATAAATGGAGTTTTCAGACAAATTTTTCCGTAATGGCTTGTGTCGAACAATCAGGAGCGGTGTCACTATTGCGGCGATTTATTAATATCTATTTTATTTTTATTTAGTTTTTCTACTAATTTTTTTATCTTATAATGTTTATAATTTAAATTTACAGTTTACTGATTGGCAATAACTAAATTACGGTGATTAATTAAAGCAGTGTTGTTTTTCCACTATATTTAAAATACATCGAAAACAGTGCCTTTACCCAAACGAACTGGTCGTTTTGAGCATCTGGCAGATACTATTTAAAAATATATTTGATAAAACACAAACTGGATTTCATTTGTGATTTTAGCTAAACCCTCAACACACGATCCCCACATTGGTTGATGGCGACTTCGCGCTTGGTGAATCTCGAGCTATTTCTACATACCTCATTAACAAGTATGCTCCGGGTCACCGACTCTACCCAGACTGCCCCCAAAAGCGAGCTCTCATCGACAGGTAAATGATAGTTCTTTCTAAACCAGAGTGTTTTACCGAAATAAATACAAAATTTCAGCTTTATCTCCGATGCTACTTTTTTCAATGAGACCTGTATTTACAGTCGTTTTTGAAGCTGGACTCGACCAATCTTGTTCGTTTGAGAAATCGAAAAGAAACGTCCATTACATCATATAATTTGTGTATAAACATATATGTGAAAATCGTGTAATAGTCGACATTTCCAATAATCCTATGTAGCATTTTGACCGTTTTGGACACTTATCGTTTGGCGGACGTCCTGCGATTGTCGCCCAACATTGTGTCCTGGATAGACTCGTTCGGCTTTGTCCAGCTTAGCGGAAGGTTCATGAGTCCTGTTAAGTCATTTTACGTCATTTTTAGTTCCTCCTATCGTACTTACCGAAGCAGCTAACGTTTGTACCTTTATAAACGCGAAGTGACTGTGTAATCGACGAGAAAACAGAAGTCGATGACCTATTGAATTGATGAACGGCACTAGTTGACAAACGTTTCTACTGAGGTCTTTTCTTACGTTTTTCGTTACTAATTTTACTTTAATTGAGAAAAACAGGGTAAGATTTTGATGTTTTGTGGTATGCGTCAAGCGCTAGCTATGCCCACATAACGCTACGGGTAATACAAGGTGAAACAGTTTTTAGCCCTTTATCGACTACATGAGCATATACCCTTGATATAAGATTGATTTAAAAAAAAAATCAAGGTTCCTCAGCTAAGTAAGTGGATTTATGTAGCATTTCAATAAGTATCTAAGAATGTAGAAACGCAAAAATAAGCAAAATTTCATTGAACGTCTTTGCGATCAGGCAGCGAATACGTCCATTAACTGAAACGACATATGAAGTTACGCAAATTTGGATCTGGGCGTGGACGCGTTTCAAGGATCCGTACGATATTGGGGTAGAATGAGTATGCGATAGTAATTTCTACTCGTCTTGTTTACACCCCTTTAAAATGAATTCCTATTCTGGCACGTGTTTGGATTAATGCCAAACGGCGGAGCCGATATCTGTTGTTTAAAAGAAACAGATGAAAGTGGGCCATAACTTTTTTGGAAAGTTATGTTTACGTAATATATTCGCAGTTTGATTAACAAACAATAGTATCGCTCACCTTGTATTTATTTGCATAAATTTTTGCTTATTTGTATTACGTTAACTATCTGTTGTCAGCAACCCTCGAAGCAGCGATCCCTTATCGTTTTCATCTAATATAAATAGTTATTGGCATTATGATAGTGTTATTGATAGCCTGAATGTCGCTCATCTTCGAGAATTGTTTTCAAATGTACCAAATGCGCGGAGGAACTATGACGAATATCCCATTGTTGGAAAGACGCCTTGACGATCCGAAGTTCCCTAAGATAATGCTAATTTTGTGGGTGTCTTTCACTTTCGATGCAGATATCTATATTTCGACATCGGGACGTTGTACAAATCAATTGGCGACTATTTCTATCCGAAATTGATGTTCAACAAAGAACTCGAACCTGATCGGGAAAAAAAGCTGAAGGACGCACTTGGATTCCTGGAAGCCTTCCTCAACGGTCAGGATTTCTTGCTTGGCAAGGAACCGACAGTCGCAGATCTCTCGATCTCATGCAGCCTCTCAATGCTTGAGGTAGGTTGATACAAAGCTGTTTGTTAAGTTGTTGTTGTTGTTGTTGTTTAAAATACTGCACCCCGTACTTCGAGGGGTTTTTGCGCTTAGAACTATATAATCAGATTATATTAGACTATAAAATTTGATGTAGGGGTGTCGCAGGCCAACCGCTGGAAATGTCATTTCATTTACAATTTAATACAAAGAAAAAACGCAATGGATACTAATACTTAATAAAAGAAAAAAACATAATTTCTTATGAAGTTCCTTCATCATGTATATGCGGCCGTCGCTAATTTCAGTTTCAACGGTGGCAAACATTTACCATACCGCTTCGTAGTTATCTTAGAGAAACCTACAACAAGTTCAACAGAAAACAACCAGGTTTCTTGTGCTCAGATGATCCCGAGGATGTGTTAACACGGTAAAATTGGCGAACGCATCTAAACAAAAATAGATAAATATAAAAAAAAAAACACTTACGCTACATCCACCCTCAACCAGCTATGACTAATTTTCGTGCCTATTCCGGTTTGTGCGACCGACGTAACGCTGATTTACAGATCACCTCATACGGTTTTCCTGCTTTCCCCATAGCGGAGGCATACTACAATCGTCTCAAGCAGCTGCCGCACTGGGAAGAGTGCAATGCGAAAGGTATCGAGGGTTTCAAGCAATTTGCCGCCGGAAAACTTCAATAGCAGCAATAATGGAATCATTTCAGTATGCCTACGAGCTGTCGAAGTATTGGGCAGCTACGCGTGACCAACTAATAAAATGACGTTCTTGTGGGCTCTAATCTGCTGCTGGGGTCGTTAAGCATTTTCGACCCAACGAAAGAAATGCCTACGTACGAAACTGCCAGCAGGGCCTGAATTGCACAGGACAATACACGCAATCATGAAACTGTGACGGAAGTAATCGAACAAAGTAAAAAATTATATAATTCCTATACGATACATACAATATTCTTAATAAAAAGAGCAATAAGCCAGAGGTTTGTGCGTATCCCGGACCGACTGGCACACAGGCGCGTACAGCCAGTCCTACGCAGAGAGAACTTACCGAATAGTTTAATGGTACTAATAAAGATTACCTCAACAATATTTGCGGCAGATATTTTTCTTTTTGCTACATATGAAAATTGCGCTTGTCTGTCGCGTTTGTTACGCTTAAAAAGTAAATGTAACAACGAAGTTGAGTATGTACATTTTCGTTGGGATTCGTTATATCGGGAGAACTCTATTTGAATTAAAGGTATTTTTCTTTTTTTTTTTTCTGTTTTTCAGTTCAATACTTAACTAAGTTCTGAACGCAGGAAATATATAAACTACCGCTTTAGTGGCTAGTACTTAAATAGCTTATGCACCAAGGTGAACAGCGGTGTTTGAACCATTTGCGTGATAACTGGGCTTAAGTTAAACTTTATTAAGCGACAGAGGCAGCGGTTACGGCAAAGCCCGAGGAGACAGACACTTCGCCATATCAGTTGTCCGACCATAGTTCATTGCGACGTAACACTCGAAGCATGAATCGTCTATTGCGGATTAAAAATTGTCATAGGAAAACGTATTTCTTGGCCTTTAAAAGTATCGATAACATTTTTATAGGTGGAATGTTTCTAAGTAGTACGTGCAACTGATTTGAGCCTAGAGGGTCTGTTTAATGTAGCTAATGAGAGCGTCTTAACAGAGAAAAAAAAAACATAAGCAACCTTCTGCGATATATATTCTAAACTGATATTGAATGATGATATGAAAAAAGTAGATCGTCATGCGCTCACAAAAAGCATGTTATTCCTAATTGGACAGAGAGATATTTTTATCTAGAAAAAAATTAACATACAACCCTGTTATTTCCACTGTTGAAGGAATTATTTTATTATGACGATTCATCATTAATTAGAGCCCATTTTTTGTTATGTTTATTGTTATGTTAATTCATATATATATATATATATATATATATATATATATATATATAAGTTTAATAGTCTGTCATCTCGTCTCCCTTTTATTTCGCATTTATGCAACCGACGGACATCCCGTGCAGCCACGCTTTCGATAATGCGCTTGTTTCGTCATTATATTTCAGTTGTATATTGTTATTATATTTTTTCTATTATTATATTTCAATATAATCATGAGAGTAATACCAGTAACGTTGTTGATATTACCGAGGTCGCCACCGTCGTTTCTACCCTTTCCTCATGTTTTCAGTTTGTGTCGATAGCATTATTTTATTTGCCCGTCAAAAGGAACTTGCACCAGCCAAACGCACAGTAAATCTATGTGTATGTTATCTGTAGTAATAATAATAAAAATGACAATCATAATCAGCTTCTGTAGAGAGAGAAAAATGCATGAACTGTTATAAATGTTGCATATTTTCGATAGACAAAAATATATGAATGTGACGTCAGATGAAAGCATGTCTCTGTAGGCAAACAAAAATTTGCAATACTTTTTTGAATTATATATTGGATTGTTTGTGTGAAGGCAATATCTGGACGTTCTCTCTCTCTCTCTGTCTCTCTCTCTCTCTCTCTCTCTCTCTCTCATTACCGCTGGTCATTGCTATTAATTCGGTAACAAATTATAAACTCTACAAACGTAGTGTGTCCCCGTACTTTAGTACGTAGTGTCCTCCCGTACTTTTAATAAATACGTGTTTATATAATCCTGGCATATATATATACCATAGTCCACCTAACATTTGTTTCGAAATTGTCGCTATCAGCTTCGATTCATTCTATTATCTTGTCCTGTTACATATTCGAAAGGGCTCGAAGTGATGTCACATTATGATGTAGCTAATAACTATCCTGAGCTGATCGCTCCCGACTTGGTGGAGCTATGAGCTCAATGTGTGCCTATGTCTATGTCCGAATCGTTCATCTTCAGGGCAGAAGTACAGCAAACGTTTGTTGAATGAAGAAATAAGTCGGCCAGAATAACAAGATGTTCATCTTGTTATTCAAGCAACTCCTGTCTGCTATTTCATTCTTTTGCACTAGTCTTTTCAAAAAATAGCCATAAACATCGTTACCTTGGGGATCGGTTCCCTTGTTACAGTTCGTTTCCATAAACAATTAACAGGATAAAGAATCGCTTCCTGTATTTGTAATGTTCTTCTCTGGCATTTGTTGCCAATAACGAACGCTGAATGGAAAGCGGCTGTATGAAAGTCTAGGAAGAAACCGAGTACTACTAAAACGGTGGATCTCGCACACTGCGGCCTACGACAGCCCGAGCTAACTCTGAACCAAGGAGACGCCAACAAACATATCGAATCCTATCACGTCTACCCTACACATCATCCAAGTTACGGAAAATTGGGATTCGCTTTTTGCTTGTCTACTTGCTTTATGCTTGCTAATTGCTACGTCCGGCTTATGTGCAGCTTGGTCAGACAAAAAATGAGGTGGGCACAACGTGGTTGGTCTGTTTGCTGATCTGGTCTGTTGCCAGTTTGTTGATCTGTTAATTACTTTTTCCTTCTCGAAAAAATCAATTTGTTGGCAACGGTCTTTTTAAACAGACAAGAAAGCGTCGAGTTTTTTTGGTCTAATTTCATCTTGGGGGGTAACTATATCAGTTTTTCTTTACTAACCAAGAACTAGATCTGCGCATAACACATATAATGATTACATATATTTTTTTTATCTGTTTTTTTTTGCTTCAGTTACACGTAGAGCTCATACATGCGTTTTAGATGAACGTGTAGTTAGGGCGAAAACAAAAAATATTCAGATTAAACGTTCGATAGGTTATCAGCAGAACATACATCTTCCATTGTAAGAATTTCCGTGCCAAAAATAGCAGAAGTTCGCGTTTACTTTGTGCATCTTTTGCTAGTTTTCACCTACACGAGTGTGTAAATGGAATTTCTCCTTTTCGTTTTTCTACAAGCTATAATAATAATAATAATATAATAGTAATTTTGCAGAGCAGGAGGTCGGTAAATAAGAATGCTAGCTGGGTTGGATCCTCCTTCTCACAGATTGACGCTTCATTTGGGTATCGTATAATCTCCATTGTAGCTTTAGTCGCCTCGTCGATAACGGGCTTATTTAAACGATCACGAGTATTACAGTGTTGTCGAGTTTGTTTGGAATTTATTTACTATCGCGTGGGTACGAGGGAAATGTCAGAGGGTTACCTTCAGTTTAGTTAGCTGTCGACACGAAGTGTTCAGGCATGTTTTTTGCCATGAATTATATAGAAGATTTGTATATAGATAATAACGTAATGGAGAATGAAAAAAATATTATTCGACTTTTGTTTTGACTATTGCCAAGGGCGTTCATTAAAGTCTAAATTTTTCACAAAATCAGCTGTTTATATTACTGCATCTAGATCCGTCCATAACGAGGAATCTCCATGACGTTTTGCTGATTTAGTAGTTTTCAACTAACGTCGTCTTGCAGACATAGCTATCTCAATAATAGAAGAGCAACGGCAATCTTCGTCGTCTTTTTCAGTAATGTTCTTGAATGAAGAGATTCTTTAATAGCTGGCACGTAATTTTACCTCGTTCACTGTGTTTTTCCTCTAATCCGCCGATGCCCTCGACACCCACGAAGATGCCTTTATATATGATGCATCTCACGCTCTTATATATATATATATATATACCATAATATATTTATTATGGTAAATAACAGTTTGAATTGGTACATACATTTGACCACACGAAGAACAGTAATAATGTCCGTTATTATAATGATAGTAGTTACTGTTATGCTTATTCTATTGTTACTTAACATCGTCACCATATGAATTGACACTCCGTTCATTTTCTTACAATGGAGTTAATGGTCTCATCAGGAATCGTGTTCCCGCTGCAGGAATTTTTCCCTTCAATTATAGGAGGATATCAATAATAATTGGATCATGTGAAATTTCTCTTACGTATTTTTATGTACAAGAAAATGTATATATTTATATATGTACTTATAGAAGTTTTTCATCCATGAAATAATAATATGGAAATAGATCGAGATTCGCTGTCACTAGTGCACCTTCAGAGGATTTTCTCTGTGTTTTTTTATGCAGAGATGCCGGTTCGATGATAGGACATTGTTTCTTGGTTGACTCTTATCGTTCGTCTAGGTCGTAGTTGTATATATGAGTTCATCGATAGAATAGATGGAATTGACAGTTAGCGGCATTTCAGCGAGAAATTCCCGGAAGCCAGACGTTTCGAACGCTAGCCAGAGCCAGCTCGAGGCTGCCACTGGTCCATCACGGAATATTTAGAAATGCATTTTATCTGCACGACATTAGCCTTCGTACAAGGTGTCTAAGCCATGAAACGACCTAACAGCATGCCCCTTAGAATTTGACGGGGCGTCAGGTATTGGGGACATATAATAATAACATTCTACTAACTAACTGGGTTTGTCCGAGAGCAGGATTGCTATTTAAAACAGGTATGTATATATATATA